CCGCAATCTGACTAGCTAAAGCCACCTACTTCCATAATGCCCAGTCCAATGCTAACGACTCCAAATCCAAATGGAATATACTCCGTAATCTATCCTAACTAGAATCCAATAATCTTAGTTCCTTCTCTCTTTCTCCAGATGATCTCAATAACCATTTCTTATCCTCTAATCACAATGCTTATCCAACTTCCGATATTAAACACCACAATTTCAATGCAGAAGACTTCTTTTTCTCACATCTTACCTACAATTACTTTCCACTATCCTAAAATCCCACACTAATGATTATGATCCTAATAATATTCCAGTAAAAATAATAAAATCCAGTCTTCCTGTCCTCATTCCTGTGCTTTATCATATCTACAACTTCTCATTGCAAAACTCCATACTCCCATCCCCCTGCAAAACTGCCCTAGTACAACCTTTGAATAAATTTTCCAACCTTACCTCGCTGCACGACTTCCGACCTATTTCTCTCCTATCCAACCTTTCAAAGCCGTTAGAAAACCTTTTTCAAAATCAACTCTCCAACTTCCTAGAGGAACGTTCCCTTGTCAACCCATTCCAATCTGGCTTTCAAGCTGGCTACTCAACGCAATCCACTCTCCTCAAACTCCATTGAACATCAAAATCTTACTATCCTCATCCTTCTATATTTTTCCAAAGCACTTGACACAATTGATCATAACAACCTCCTTACTAAATTGCACAATCTTCCTCTATCAGTGCCCTGCATTGGTTCAAATCCTTCCTTTCAAATCGGTCCCAGAAGAGGGTTTGATCAAAAGTAACACCCAGGTTTTTAACGGAAGTATGGAATAAGGTAGGTGAGTTGTTCAGGAGAAGATTGGGAGTACCGGGCAGGATTTGAGGAGTGAGGGGGATCCTATCAAGATGGCTTTTGTCTTTTCAGCATTCAGAGTGAGCTTGTTGAGGTTTGACCAAACACTTATTCTGTTAATGTCTTTTTGGAGTTTTAGGATGGCATCAGAGGAATCGGTCGGATTGAAGGGAAGGTAAATTTGGACATTGTCGAAATACAGGTGGCATTGACAATGAAGGATAGAGGAGGTCATTTATATAGATGGAAAAAAAAGTGGGGGATAAGGAAGAACCTCTGGACAAGAATAAAGATTCTGATGGGAGGTTATTAGGGATTACAACATATTGGGAGTGACCTGTAAGGAAAGATTGGAATCAATTAAGGGCACCAGAACAAAAGGAGATATTTTTAAGTTTAGGAGGATGTTGTGGTCTACTGAATCAAAAGCTTTGGAGAAGCCAAGGAGAATAAGGATGGTTAGTTTCTGCTGATCTATGGCTGTATGAAGGTCTTGGGAAATTTTGATTAGGGCAGACTGAGTAGAATAGCCAGGCCTGAAATCAGACTGGTAGGAATTTAGGAGATTATTCTGCTCTAAAAAATGGGATAGCTGGAATTAGACTAGTCGCTCTAAAGGTTTGGAGAGGTTTGAAAGAAGGGAAATTAGACGGAAATTATTAAGAGTTGATGGGCTAGAGGTCTTCTTCAAGGGGAGAACCAGGGCAGTTTTCCAGGATGTAGAGAAGGTAGCATTTTGAAGAGAATAATTATAGATATGATAAAGGATCGGAAGAATGGATGGTTGCGCGGCTTTAATCACTCTGACTGAGATTTTATCGGGACCATAATAGTTGCATAATAGTTGGTAATGTGGGGAAAAATAAGTGATCAGGATTAAAAGAGGAATATAGAGGAGCCGGAGTGGATGAGGTTGTGAAAGTGTAGAAGACAAAGTTAGCGTTGAAGTTATCAGTAGAAACGGAAATGGACTGGGACTGAAGTATATCAAGAATGGTCAGTTTTCTAAGAATAGTCCATGTGGCCTTGGTATAAGGGGAGTTGAACGAAGAATGATGGTAATAACAGGATTTGGCATGGCTTACTGCAGATTGAGTGCTGTTTCAAAGCACTTTGAAAGGGAGAAAATCTTCAGGAAATCGAGTTTATTTGAACCGTCGCCTTGTAGCATCTCTTTTCTCATACACTCTCTCAAAGCAGGAATCAGCCAAAGAGTGGGAGGATATCGGATGGTTTTCATGATAAGAAGAGCATGTCAGTCGAGGATGGAGTGAAGATGAGTGGTAAGGGTTTCTACCACGTTGTCAATGGATTTTGAGGAATAAATGGGATCCCACTGGATATTGTCAAGATCTTTTGACAGTGTTTCATGAGTGAGAAAATTTAGGTTTCGGGAGGATATTGTTTGGAAAGAAAAAGATGAGACAGGAATATTGTAAGAAATCTGGATAAGATCATGGGAAGACAGAAATGGGACCTGGTGCTGTGATACAGCAAGGAGTTTGTCAGAGGAGTCTAGGATAAACAGATCGAGCAAGGGCTCTGAGAACTGAGTATGATGGGTTGAATTGTAGGGTACTATATAAAGGCGAGGGAATGTAGGAATGTTGTTAGGTAAGAATCATTGGAGGGTGGCATCAGTAAATTTGTATTAAACTTTCCAGAGAGGATGACATTTGAGTAGGAAGGGATTAAGTTGTACAGAGAAGTCTCAAATGATTCATCAAAAGGAATTCTAGGAGGGCGATACATGACAGCAAAGTGAATGGCAGATGACGTTGTGCAGATTTCGGTAAAGAGGTATTCAATTTTCGGAGAATCGGTTAAGGAAGAGCAATGATGGATTTTAGATTTAAGACTGTCATGGACAAAGAACTCCACCACCCGTATGATCTACTCTGTCATGACGAAAAAGAGTATAGTTAGGTAGAAGGATCTGGGAAGACGAGATTGTGGGTTTCAACCAGGTTTCGAATACGGTAATTAAATGGTAGAAGTTATGGAGAAAAAGTCGTAAAATTCATCAAAATGGGCTAAGAGTGACTGAGCGTTGACATGGCAGGTTAAAAGAATATTAATCATGGAAGAAGGAGGGATGGCTTGGTAAACGTACAGGTGTTAAGAATAGGAAAATTTCTATAGTGGCTAGAGCTAATAAAAGAGCCCAGATACCATAATTAATGATAATATCTCTATTGAGAAGAACAATAAGTTTAAAAGATTTGAATTTAAATGAAAAATAAAGAAGAAACATTTCCCAGATATTAATAATGAGGAAAAGTAGAAAATATAAAATTTATTTAATGAAAAGTCTGTTCCTACCGTGAGAAAGAAAGAATTAACATAAATTAGAATGTCTTAACAAATCAAAACTAAAATGTTGTCATAAACAAAATTAAATTATTATCAATGTAGATTAATAAAATAAATGCAACAAAAACCTAAACCTGAAAATATGAAAGAGTGAAAACAAAATTGTACAAAGTAATGAAACATGCGTGTACATGTCAAATAAATATGTCTGCTGGCCATCATCCTGTCGACATTTCACCTTGCCCATACTAAACCACACATATCTGATTTTCCCGGCATACTTCTTCTGCGGGGTCAACCAATACAAGTGTGAGACAGACATAGCTTCGCTCAGCTAAATCTTGTAGGCATCATTTTTTTGTCAACAAAGTTTCCATACATCTATAATATTTTAATTCTATTTCTATTGAATGCTATTGTTTTTCTCTAAACTATTATCTGAACACTAAATTCAAGAATAAGTTAAGGTTCAGTCAGCCTACTTCAAATCAACATGATGCGTCTTGAGCAGAGCATTCGTGACCAAGTTGGGAAGTCAAGGATTTTCTCTCCAAAAAATTGGAAATTTAGTAAATAAATCGCATGCAACTGTGCAGTATGTGTTGAACAGACAGCGAATTAAAAACATTGGAGGATAGGCCTCATTCAGGGAGCCCAAAAAAAATTAACAGAATTTATAGGACTATTCTGAATCAGATGCGTGAAAATTACCATACAAGTAAACATCCTAAGCCAATTGACTTGAAAGAGATTAAAGGGTATCGATAAATCCAGACACTGTCATGAATGTCCAGAGAAAGAAAGGATTTCATGAAAAAATTACAAGAAAAATACCCTTCATAAATAAGCAAAACAAATAAGAAGAAGAGGTTGACATTTGCCATGAAGTATGCCAATAAATCAGAATGTTCCTGGGATTCTGTTATCTTCTCAGATGAATCTAAATTCAATCCTTTTGTACCTGATGATGGAAGCTGTCATGTCTGGAGAAAAGACAAATAAGCCCTTATTATAAAGTTTGCAACCGACTTTCAAGCAAGGATATGGAAGTTTAATGGTATGGGGGTGTATAAGTTCTTCAGAATTTGAAAACCTTGTTTTTATTGATGGTATAATGGACCAGCAAGTATATCTAAATACACTAATTGACAATTTGAAATTTTCTACTGAAAAACTTAGACTTATGTCTAGGTTCATTTTTCAATAGGACAATGATCATAAGCACATCACCTAGAAAGTGAAATAACGGTCAATCGACAATGTTCCATAACAGTTGCAAATTCCTCCCTAATCACCAAACATGAAACCAATAGAAAATTTGTGGGATGAATTGGGACAGCAGATGAAAAATCATGGTATTAGAAGTGAAAATCTCAAAGCAGCTTTATTGGCAGAATGGGATTCAATTCGCAGCGAAGTATTAAAAAATTGGTCCTTAATATATAAGATGGACTAAATGAAGTTTTAAGGGTGAAGGTTGGTTGCATAAGGTATTAAAAAGTTAATAATACAAAGATTGTATATGTTTGTCATTTATGGAAATTTTATTGACTCAACTTTCATTAATGTTTAAATTATAATATCGCAACCAATGTTGATGTCATTTTCCTTAATTTATTGTCAAATAAAAATTTTTCAAATACCTTTTTCCAAAGAAAAATGAAACTTATTGTATGTATGGAAACTATTTAAGGCAGTGTATCCCACATTAATGATAAACAAGAGATGTCTCAATTAAAAGTATTAATGTTTAAATCACACATAAAATATTTCTATTGATTCCTAAGAAAAATTAAAAAAGAAACCAGAACTGTAATAAATTGGCAAAAAACAATGTTTAGATCACCTCGACTTAAAAAATTATACAATGTCATGTCAAATCACAAAGTCATTGATAAGAATTTCAGGTCTTTCGTATTGCAAAAATTCAATCACAGAAAAATGGTGTTTTGAAAGGGAACACTTCAGACTTATCAAAACAAACCGTTCCGAGTAAATAATCATTAACATTACCAAAGAGAAAGGAGTTGTTTGTAAGTTGTAAAATCCTCTAACTAAAAACACAACCTTTTCACACGTTATTCTATGTATGAATATGTATTTGTGTATGTATGTATATGCAAGAATGTTTTAACGAGATTTTATTCTTTATAAAAAGAATTAAATTACAGGTAGTTCCACTAGTACAAATCAATAATAATAACTACTTCAATTATATGTCATTAGATAATACAAATGATAACACTGAAGATTGCAACAGTATTGTAGTACACTGTAGCAAAGTTACATCTCCCCCCTGAAGATGATTCTTACGGAGAATAAGGAAGGAGTTTACTGGAATGAAAGAAGTTAAAGATCTTCTTCCTCTTTCCACCTGCTACTTCATAAAACGTAGGTGAAATGTGGCGGACTACTGAAAATGGTCTGATCCGTATGGGGTCGAGTTTGTTACGATTAATTTTGTTACCATTTTCGATATACACCAAATCACCAACGTTAAAATTATGATGGCATCGATTCCTATCGACACGTTTCTTATTGATTTGAAAACTTCTTATTGAATTTTGAAGAGCTGTTTTACGATCTTTTTTAAGGGAAGACGGATTCTCTTCGATGAGGGGGGAAATATCTTGTTTCTTTCCTAACAGTAAGTAAGATGGTGCAAATCGAGTGGCACTATGATTTGTATCATGAATCATCACTCACTGACACACTCCTGTTTGAGAACCCGTCAGGCCTTATTTGTTTCGTTCTTTATTTTACATCTTAAACTATTCACAAGTGTTTGGTTCAATCTTTCGCTTATTCCATTAGTTTCTGGCTGGTCGATGCAGGTAAATACAATTTGTATGCCATCTTTCGCCAAGTAGTTTTATAACAACTTAAATTTAAGTCAACATATTGGTCGGCTAATATGATGGAAATATTATGCTTTTTAGTGATTGGCTGAATTAAATTTATAAAGACTTAAGCACTCTGACCCTTACTAGTTGAGATCCAGGCATATCTGATGAAATGGTATACCAAAATGTGCATATATTTCTTTGGTGACCGATTTCCTAAAAACCCACTAGCACTGTCAAGTGACATTATTTGGAACGGCACAGTGGCAGGACCTAATTGTGAGAGAAGGCCGATAGCTCGACTGCGATGGACCTTCTTCCTAACACAAATCTGACAACTTTTAAAGGAATTATGAACATCTTTGTTGATACCATCGAAGTAATAATGCGGCCTGATTGTGGCGAACATCAGTGCTGGACCAGTGTGACCATAATGCTCATGAATAAGTCGAATGACTTCGTTTCCTAATTTTGGAGAAACGAATATTCTCAGTTTGTCTTTTAACTTTTTTAGTATCATCCCTTGCTTATAGGCAGTGCGTTTTACTATTAAAGATTTTCAGCTTGGTCTTTTAAAATCTGAGGTAAATCGATTAAGTTCACAATCTTGATAGCATCTTCACTGTCAAAATATTCTAAAACCGGATTACTTGACAGTAAGTTGGCTAGGATATTTTCTTTTCCTTTTTTATAAATAATAGTAAAATTTAATTGCGACAAATAAAGAAGTAGGTAGCCAAGGATTTCATCTGGTCTGGCATTAATCTCTAAGTTTTCCAATGGCTTATGATCGATGCGCAAAGTGGCGTCCTATTAAATAATACTGCCAAGACTTGATTGCATCTTTAATCGATTTCCATTCTAAATTAATTATATCATTATTATAACCGTTTTTCTCTTTCTGACAGTTTTCTAGAGTAATACGCAACAGGAGGCAATACTCCATCTTCTTGTGACTGTTAAAGTGTTGCATCAATACCTTTAAAACTGGCATCTGTCTCGATGAAGACAGGCTTATTATAATCGTAAATTGACAGTATAGGCGCGTTTTTAATTTGTAAGATTTTTTTTTAACGAGATTTTATTCTTTATAAAAATAATTAAATTACACGTAGTTTCACTAGTACAAATCAATAATAATAACTATTTAAATCATATGTCATAAGGTTGCAACAGTGTTGTAGTACACTGTAGCAAAGTTACATATATAAATGGGGACGGGGTAGGCGTACGGACTAAGGCGCTTGCAATAGGTAATCAAAGCTAAGCAACGTCGAGCGTGGTCATTACTTGGACGGCTGACCGTCTAGTCAGCCGTCCCGTCACCAGGGAAAGACACGCTGTCCGAGATCCCCCCCCGGGTATGTGAGACCCGTCAGCCTACAGGAGGCAACTCACACCGCAGGGAGGTGAGTGACCCAGCGGTAGACATAGTTCCTTGGTCCTCCAGGTTGGGCGTTGGGCATAGAGCTAATAACCTTATCCGGTCAAAAACACCATATTAAGAAACCAAAAACCAGCCTCGGAAAATCTGACTGTCTTAACAAAGTAACGATTCCGGCTTTATATAACAGACTCCATATCGGATCATGGAATGTTCGGAGCTTATACAGACCAGGAGCCGCCCAAAAGGTAGTTAAAGAAATAAAAAGGTACAACGTACCGTTAACAGCCATTCAAGAGCTAAGGTGGCCAGATAGTGGGGAAACCACTATAGACGGCTACACACTGTTCTACAATTTGAGAAACGACTAAAATGGGACAGCTGGCACTGGATTTATAGTTAATCCGGCCGCAAGGAAGTCAAGTTGAAGTTGTGAAGAGATTGTTGGTTTAATATCACGATTAATAACGTGTATGCACCAACCGAAGGAAAAGAGGATGAGGTGAAGGACGATTTCTACGAACAGTTAGAAAAAGTTATGGACCAGGTTCCAAAACATGACATAAAATTAGTCATGGGAGACTTCAATGCCAAGATAGGTCGATAAAACCCAATTTAAGCCCATCATCGGAGGCCAAAGTTTCCACGAAACTAGCAATGACAATGGAGTGAGATGCATTAGTCTGGCAGTTGCTAAAGGTCTAGTAAGCATACGATGTTCCTGCACAAGGACAAATATAAGTATACCTGAGTAAGTCCTAAAGGAGCAAAAAGCCAAATCGACCATGTGCTGATAGACAAGAGGCATCAAAGCTACATACAAGACTTAAAGAGTTATCGTGGAGCAGACAGTGATTCGGACCATACTCTGATTAGAATCAAACTCTGTCAGAGGCTGAAGCGAATCCACCGAATTGGGAACCAAGTGGAAAGAAAGAGGTACGAAGTCCGTAATTTAAAAAACCCTGTAGTACAAGTTGAATTTCAAATTGAGCTGAAAAATAAATTCGAACCTTTGAACTCAGAAGGTCTCACGGTTGACCAACACTGGGAGGCACTAGAGTCAGGGCTAAAACAAACAGCTAAGGAAGTAATAGGGATTCAGGAAAAAAGAAAAGCCAAGAAATTTTTCACAGAAGCATGCGTAAAGTCACTGGAGGAAAGAAGAAAAGTCCTCTGCTTACAAACTGATCAAGATATGCTGGACAAATACACAGCCGCCAGGAAAAATACAAACAAAATAATAAGAACAGCCAAAAGAGAATTCCTCAAAGAAATATTACAAACTATTGAGGAAAACTGGCAGGCAATTCTTCGCAGATATCAGGAAAGAAAGGGTAGGATATAAAGCGAGAAATACACAAATGCCAGGGAAAGATGGCAAATTGACGGCATCAAAAGAAAAGATCCTAAGCATCTGGAAGGAAGACTTCCAGCAGCTGCTTAATCAAGGGCACCCCATAAACGAAGAAGGCATGGACCACACTGAGGACATCAATCCACTTAAAGTTGGAAAATCAGATATTCTGGATGTGGAACTAGCTATCAGCAGGCTTAAAATAAGAAAGGCCCCAGAGATAGACAACCTACAATCATAATTGTTCAAGGATGGGGGAGAAGAACTCAGAGCCAAGCTGTTAGATCTAATCCAGAAGATATGGGAGAAGGAACGGATACCAGAAGCATGGAACCCAGGGTTAATCTGTCCTATCCTTAAGAAAGGCTCCATGTATGAATGTGGATATTACAGAGGCATAGCACTTCTTCCGGTTGCCTAAAATATAATGAATAATATTCTGCTAAATCGGATATATCCGTATTATGAAAAAATAATAGGACAGGGAGGAGTACGGTAGATTAGATATTCATCCTAAAACGAGTACTTGGAAAACGATGGGAAGTAGATCAGGACGTACACGCATTATTTGTCGAATTCAAATGAGCCTATGACTCCGTTGACAGAAACTGTCTCTGGAAGATCATGACTGAGCTGGGTGTTCCCGGGAAATTAGTGAGGTTGACGAAGGCATGTACAAATGATCCTAAATGCAGGGAGAAGTATCTGAAGCCTTTGAAGTTCGAACGGGATTGAGGCAGGGAGATGGACTTTCGCCGATGCTGTTCAACTTAGCACTAGAGAAAGCAATAAGAATAACATCACGCGAAGATGGAGGGGCGCACGTTGGAATGAAACATAAAATTGGTCTGCAGATCCAACCGAAAAAAAATACATATATAAAAAAATTAAATTTACAACTAAATCACCGGTACAAAATATTATGAGATATTTATATGAGATATAACTGAATGAATGAACTAAAAAAAGGGAGTTTTGGGCAGAGTAACAGTACGCAGGTTCAAGAACAACTAACTTTATTATTGAATTCATCCGGTATATACGGAGATAATTTGTTGTTAAATACAAAGGTTTCTTTGTATTTGAGATTTTAATTTAGTGTAGAGTATAGGGTGGTCTGAGGAGACAAAAGCTTTGGAAAAGTCGAGGAGTATTAACACAGTTAAAATTTTTACGTCCATTGCGGTATGTAATTCATTGTTAACTTTTAGAACGACGGATTGTGTGTAGAAGTCAGGACGAAAACCAGATTGGTTAGGAACAAGGATTTATATCGCTTAGTAGGTAACTAATTTGATAAAATCTGGTATTTCGGAAACTTTTCACGAATTTGAGAAACAAATAGTTTCAGACTACTTTTTAGGAATCTGATTTAATAAAATCTGACCAATATTTAGAAACTTTTCGAGATTGT